AAAAAAAAAAAAACTAAAAACTAAACATGTATCTTCTTATATGCTTTTGACACTGAGTAGATATTATCCATATCATAGATTATGGTAAAGTAGCATCCATTAAGGACAATTTGTCAATATAGATAACCAAGGAGAATTTACAGAAAAAATGGGATCACGGATGACAATTATATTCCACTATACACAAGTTAATAATTGAGCCATTAAAAAAATAAGATTACCCGAAATGATATTTCCAAATTTTCTCCTCCCCAGATATCCATGCCACTGTCATACTGCCCAAGGTCATGGAAATACTGTCGGTTCATGGCAAATAATCCTCCGGCCATTGTAGGTGACCTAGAAAAGGAAAATAATTACTAATTCTATATAGTCAGTTATCTTACCTACTATTTTTGTTTAAAAAAAAATCAGTGTAGCTTTGGAACATTACTAATAAAAACTAGATTAACTATTATAAAACATCTAAGAATCAGCTGGACCATACAACTGAATTTTCTAGATTGCTAATAATATGCTAGGCATATGAAGGTTCTTCATATCTGGCATATGAAAGTACTTTTCTAAGTATCAAAAGTACTCATTATTTTTATTTATTTATTTATATTTTGAGACACGGTCTCACTCTGTCGCCCAGCTAGAGTGTAGTGGTGTCATCGTAGCTCACTGTAACTTCAAATTCCTGGGCTCAAGGGATCCAACTGCCTTGGCTTCCCAAAGTGCTAGGATTACAGGTATGACCACCACGCCCAGCCAAAAGTACAGCCAAAAGTACTTTTCTTATAACCATTTTTGATAGACATCCACCTGAAATGAATTATGTAATTCCTTTTGACAGTCTCACTGAGCCACTGGGATCAAAACTAGACTCCAAGGCCTGCCAAGGAGAAACCTGACAAACCTTACACATTTTGAGATGGACTCAAACACACGTTAGTCCAGGCTTTCTCAACTGGGATGACTGGTCCACCATGCTACTGGGATGTGGGTTGAGGTCAGGGATTCTGCTAAATATCCTAAAATGCACAAGTGGGCCCCTACATCAAAGAATTATCTGGCCCAGAACATCTATAGCGCTGCAGCTGAGAAGCCCTGTGTGGGAATGAAAGCAGCTGAAGCAGACAGGCCTTCACTGAGACTAGAGTTTCTAGTCATCTCACTTCCTCAATGTGGATCTAGGGGACTGTGGATTCTAGTGGCCTAAGTTGCCTGTAGAAGAGAAGCAAAATTCTCTCTGTAGGGGAAAAGCATCATCCCAAGTATGAATGTATTTCTATAATTTTTCATATAGAATGTCTGGCACTAAGCAAAAATAAATAACCAATCAGGAAGATAAAATCACATGAAAGAAAAACAAGAGAAACAATCTATAATAGACAGATGTATAGGGGTTTCAAATATGGAGTTACCAAGTAGAAACTTTAAGGAAACTGCTTAGTATGTTCAAAGATAAAAGATAAGATTGAGAATTCAGCAGAGAATTAGATACTATCAAAAAAAGAAACCATGTTTATACATATCTGAAAAACACTTTTGAAAAATAAGACAAAAATTTAAGCAGCCAATTATAAAGGGATTATCTTCAAAGGAAGCAGAATAAGGCTAACACTGTCTTCTTGTATGAAATAGCAGCAGCTACAGGTTCTTGGACGTATTGATACTTTGGAAGTCCTGAAAGAAAGCATCTGCCACTGCCAACCTAGATCTAGATATCAAAGTGTCCTTCAAAATAATGGTGAACAAGGACATTTTCAGAAAAACAAACTTATCAATAGAAGGTCCAGGTATTGAAGAGTGTTCTTTAGCCAGAATGAGCAGTCCCAGACAGAAGCTTGCAGATGCCAAAGGACTAGAGTGGCATAAAGATGAAATATGTGGGCAAGGCTACGTGAATACTGTCACATAAGAATTCTGTGTCTCACGAGGTTTAAAATATATGTACATCAACAACAGCATGTAACTTGGGTGGGGGATAACTAGAGTATGAACATTCTGAGATCCTGGCATTGTCTGGGGCAAGTACCAATTTATATTATACTCTGATACATCAAGAATGTATGCTGTATTCTCTAGGAAAACCACTAACAGAACTGTATATAAAAACATGTAACTTCTAGTAATGGGACAGCTGCTGGGAACAGAAAAATCTGGGCTTTGTCCAAAAGAAGGCTGCAGAAGAGAAAAAAGAATACAGAATACACAGGGCAAACAGAAAGAAAACAGCAGTTCTGTAATCTTAAAAAAAGCTTCTCATGCTGGGTTAAAAAAAAATAAAAGCCATTTTAAGATGCTGCTTACATCTAAATATAAGAACATGGAAAGACTGACAGTAAAGGAGAAGAAACAAAACCAAAACGGCTACTAAAGTTACCATGTCACAGCACTAGGAAGAGTACCAGGGAGGGCTGTAAATGAGCCACATCTCCATTTTTTATGCAGACAGTCTGAAGCGAGTTGGTACAGGAAACAGGAATATGCTTATTATCTAGAGTTCATCAAGTAAAAAACAAGACCAAAGATAGAAACTGTTAAAAGATTTTGCCTCTGGAAAGAAAGGGAGGAAATGGGTAGGAGATGGCCTCCTTTCATCCTAAGTTCATCTATATAATTTGATCTGTTACTGAATATGTTTTTTATTAAAAATTAAACATTGAAAACCAAATGACCATGAATGTGATAAAACAGGCAAAACAGACAAAAACTGGTAACTAACAATGAGAACACATATAAGAAAGCCTAGGATACTTTCTTCTTGCTATGAAAAACTTCAAAAATATTAAACTACACATACTTCACCCACTGAAAAAGAACATAGAAAGTCCAAAAGGAAACAGGAAACAACTGAGTCACCACTACTGTCTGCCTCCACTCACAGGCTGTGAGGTCACAGAGACCAGAAACACAGATGGCCGGTGCCCAGATGGAGTGCTGCTCTCTTGAGAGAGGGGCTCCCCCAGCTAAGTCCCATGTGCAGAGCCAGGGGAGTGATCCACACCAAATCTCTGGTAGGCAGTGAGAAGTGGTGTCGCAAGCACATGAAGACAGGAAGACAACGGAGAGCTGGATGTGCTTCGCTCATGGACTTCACTGGTTCTATGAAGAACTGCAACAGATTCTCACACACGAAACCTGACAGAGCAGAAGAGGACCTCATTCTGCTGGGAGACCACATCAGACCCCTGGAATTGGCCAAGGACTCTATCAACCTCCCCTCCCCTTTCAGATGAAAGAAAGCTAACAAGTTCCAAAAGGCCAGCTGAGAATATTCTAGTCACCTGATGTGTTAGAAAAACATTACATGCTAAAGTTAAAGAAAGGCATACTTTGTGATTCAGTAATTTCACTCTGCACTAGAATAAGAATAGTCTCTAACAATGCTGCTTGTAACATTAAAAAAAAACCAAAAAAACCCAAAAAACAACCCAATTGCTTCACCAAAAAACAGTAAACTGGATAAATGTTATAGTATATTCATATAAAAGAATATTACATAGCAATGAAAATGAATCAACTATAGCTATATACTGCGATGTGGAAGAATTTTTAAAACAATGTTAAACAAATGAAGCATGACAAAATAATGAGTCATACATGGCTTTATTTACATCAAGTACAAGAGCAAGCAAAACTAAACTATTTTGTTTAGAGATTCATTAATAGGTGGCAAAAGTACACAGGAGAGCAAGAAAATGATTACCAAGGTCATGGTAATGACACCCCTAGGTGTCAGGGGGCGTGACCAGGAAGCATAGGGGGCTTCTGGGTGCTGTTTCTTGACCTGGGTAGTAGTTACACAGTTTACATTATAACCACTTATTAAACTGTGTGTGTGTATGTGTGTGTGTGTGTGTGTGTACAGAATATATTTGATATATACTTTTTATGTAATTTTCCACAACAAAGCTTTGAAGAGTAGGTCCAAGAACTTTAAAAAGGAAAAATACAGATAAACCTCTTTGTATTCAATCTATGTAAGGAATTAAAAAAAAAACATTAGAGCAGATTTATATTAGAGAATATGAAACATGAATGAGAACGTAAAATAATTCATAGGCTATGACTTAGTAATTGTACTGGTAAGAATCTATCTTTAAAATCCTAATTAAAAGGCTTATGTATAAATGTTTGTGACAGCATTATTCATACTATTTAACAGCACAGAACTGAAGACAAGTTACTGACCAGTGCATCAGACCACAGCATCTGACACAGCACACACAGCACACAGGCCCTGCCAGGGCATCCTCTGCCAGTGACCTTGGGATATGGCTGAGCTGAGTCCTTGAGGGCACAGATAATATCTTACTCATAAATCTTTCCTTAGGACTTGGCAGAATGCATAAAATTCAGTAAGTGCTCACTAATTTTTTAATGCACAAATTAAATCAACACTCTTGCTCCTTACAAAGAAGGAGGAATTATCTTTAATACTTTTTTTAAGGACATACTGGCGGGAATTTTTCAAACATAAAGGAGAAATCTTACTTTATGGGTGCAGTGGCTCCTTCTGCTCCTCCTAGCTCAGAAAGGGGAACAAGATCCCATTTGAAGTGCAGCCCCCAGTTGAACCCTCCACGGACAACGGGGGACGAGCTGTAGGCGAGGGTGTCAGCACTAATAATGTCAATCACTGGGCACACCACGGTCTGCCTGTCCTCGTGGATGGCGGCCAGCAAGGGCTGCAGCCACATCACGTTCACTTCACAGTGGCTGTCCAGGAACACGAGCACTTCCCCTGAAGAGCAACAACACAGGCTCAGGAGAGCTTGCTAACAATTCAGGCACAGCCCCCCATCCAGTGGATGATGTGCTGCCCCCCTGCAGCCCCCAACAACGAACTCTCACACATACTGCTGATTGTAAACAAGGGAAGTCCTTTAGCCAAGAATTCTGCCTGAAGTGTAACTGAGGAACATGTACAATAATATGCACAACTCTTGACAAATTTATAGACAATTGAGATTCTCTTCAGTAAAAAGATTCAAACTCTCATAGTAACAATTCAGCTCTTTGGATGGCCAGACATTTGGTGATTCAAGATGTTTTAGTACAATGACAGTGGCCAGCTGTGTGTAGATATTACAATTATTTTATTCAAAATATCTATAAATTTAGCATACACTTAGAATGCATTTCCCTGCCTTAGTAAACAATACAGGGAACATAACGATAATACGTTTTCATTAGTGACATAGAAACATCATTGTAACCAACCCAAAGGAGAGAAGCATGTCCACTGATGCCACTGCGGAAATACCTGCAACTGCACCACCCCGGAGACCGCCTCACTCATTCCTGTCGTCCGTTTCCCGACTTCCTTTCTAATGCTCCCAACTCTCTTGGCTTTAACGGTTTTCATGCCAATGGGATACACCTTTCTTCTAGTTAGCAAAAAAAGTGTTACTTTTTCCAATTAATGACAATCTAAATAAATAAAGTAAGATTACACCTGGTCACATTGAATCTGTGACAATGACTTCCCCAAAATTGGCTTGCTTTTGAGAGATCCTGAACTATATCTGAACAAGGGCCTAAACAGATCATAAAGAAAAAAAAAACCTATGACCGCAGAGAAAAACTACAAAAAAATAATTAAGGAAAAAAAACCCTAAATAACTATTGTTATCTGACAAAAATAAATTCACAGTAAACTTTTTTTTTTTTTTGAGACACAGTCTCGTTCTGTCATCCCAGGTAGAGTGCAGTGGCCTCATCATAGCTTCACCGCAACCTCAGACTCCTGGGCTCAAGCAATCCTCCTGCCTCAGCCTCCTGAGCAGCTGGGACCACAGGCACGAACCACCACACCCTGATAATTTTTTCTATTTTTAGTAGAGACAGGGTTTCACTCTTGCTTAGGCTGGTTTTGAATTCCTGATCTCAAGCGATCCTCCCACCTCAGCCTCCCAGAGTGGTAGGATTACAGGCACGAGCCACCACCCCCATGCCCCAAACATGCATTTTAACAGTACAATGTTTCAAATGGCACGATACTGAAAATATCCCAGAATGTTTTCTTTATATCGTTGCCTGCAATAACTCAACACAGCCAACTCAGTAAGCCTTTATTTGACTAGGAATCTAGAAAAGAAAGTATTCTAAGCTCTGAATTCAATTTGCATACAACTGCAGACTAGATATAAAAGAGCTACGTCCCATTTTTTGTTAATTGCTTCAGATCACTGTGGGTTTAAGAGAAAGACGAGAAGATTCTAAAAGTGAAGTCCGAACTACACCCAGCAAATGGGCCAGTGGCAACACAAGAGGGGTAGTGATGAGCAGCGGCAAACACCGCACCCCTTGTGGCTGGTTATCTAGAAGAGCTTAGAGTACGAGAAGGCAGTAGATGCCACTGCTGCCAGGGAATGCCCCCCACCAAGTTCAGTAATTCTCAAATCACCTTCCTGATTTTTTTTGCCATGTCTATGCACTACCTGCAAATTGTATGCCTCATATTTTTAAACAGATTTATTTGTTTTAACTTAATTAAATTTATTTTCAAAATTTTAAAAATCAAGATCATAAATGAAAATCAGGAACACCAACCTTATACAGAGGTAAACATAAAAATAAATACAACAGAATCAATATAACTGAAGACTAACCAGATACATATTCTGCGGAAGACTCTGAGTTTGATACCTGTTCTTTCTTTTTAAAGGGAGAGATTAGTGTACAATGGAATGGTTTTGAAGATATGTTAGTAACAATGGAGACTTTCTCCTTGACGGAATCAGAAGAAATTAAGAGGGAATAAGAAATACCTTTTATAGTTACGTAAGTCAATCTTATATCTATTTACCAACCAAAATCATGATGCATTATTATCTTCAGAGGTGTGTACTCCATTCTAAGAATTATTAGCATAATTCAAATCAAACAGTTTGGGTACATATATTTTAAACTTTGTATTTAAAAATGTATAAAAGTTCAGTTATACTTTGGTTTAGATTTTTCTACTTATATAAGGAAACAAGATATAAAACCTATGTGAGGGACAATAATTAATAAAAAAGGTCACTAGGAAAACAGAGTTCAATCCACTGCTCGGGGGCGGCGTGCTTGGAGTTACGTAAAGGCCTTTCCTAAACAAAACAAGCCTTATGCCTCTTGCTGGTGATGCCTGTTTAAAACACCACTTTTCACAGACTCTGCCAAATCAGGAAAAGGCCGAGGATCAAGCCCTTGTCACCCAACACCCACAGGGAAAAGCCAGCAGGAAGTCGTACCTGTCGCGTGGGCTGCTCCGATCATTCTTCCTCGAATTAATCCCTCACGCTTTGTATTTCTTATTATTTTAATTTTTCCAGGAAGGTGTTGTTGAACATATTCATCTAGTTCTCCTTTCAAATCATCTGAATATAAAGAGTCTCACAATTACTCAAACCATTATGAGACATGTGCAAAGATGTTTTATAGCTATTCTAAAGTTTTATCTGGCACTTGCTAAAATTCACAACAAATTATCAAGCAAATACTGTAGAATCTTCTGCTTTATTTTAAAAGAATATTGTAGCTTACCCTATAGGAATAAAAAGCAAAGAAATGAAGGGTAAGAGTTGGAGTACAAGCTAAGAATAGTTACCTTAGTTATAGACTTGTTAGTACTTCCATAGCATCTAGCACAATGTTTTGCATAAAGAATGTTTGAAATGACCATTTTGAGTGCATCAATGTTCAGTTAACTGCATATAAATCACATTTAAAACAAAATGAGATACAAATGACTTTTGTTATAATTTATTAAGTCTTATTCTGTTTCAGAAAAGTTAAGAAACAACTTCTGTTGCCCCTACCAAGAATTAAAAAATAGCGTAACTATGTCCTTTTATTAAGTGAGCACCTTTTTTCCAAGAGCATTAAATAGGTCATTCACCTTTAAATTTCATAATAATGTCAAAGTTCATATAAGATAATAAGCAGTAATTATTTCCATAGTTAGTATACCAACCACTATAAATTATCATGAATTTTTCCTTTTAGATAAAATAGCCACAAAGTGAAAACCAAAAAACAGGTTGATTAAAAAAAAAAAAAATCAGCCATAAATTCTAGAGTTTAGTATTTAGCTAATCTTCTATCTGGTCCAGACTCAGATTGACTTGGGGTTTTTTTTGTAATCACTCATTTTTAAAAAGTATGTTTTTTTTTCTACTAGCCTTTCCAACTTTTCTCCTGTGCAGTTTCATTATTTAGCAAGGTTTGAGAATTTTGTTCCCATAGGTCTCAGTGTACATTTCCTCACTTTGTATGTTTAATTATACTGGTATACCAATTGTGCTGCTGCTATAAGAGGTGCCTAATAAATGCTTGAGTCTGTGGAAAAAAGCCACTGGCATATACCTATATCACTGTATTTCTTCAGGTCGCTGTAATGAAAAGAGCAGAAAGAAATCTTGGAACCATGCAGACCAGGGGTCTAAATTCACCTCTATTACTTAACAGCTATGAGGTTCTAACAAATTACTTAATTTTTATATTTCCTCCTCTATAAAATGGGGTTCTAGCCTTTCTTGCAAAGTTGCTGAGAGCCGAATGAGCAGTGTAAATGAAAAGCCTTCCATCCTGCTTGTGGACATGAAGCCATTCTTAGCAAGAGTCTATGCTGAATTAATGCAAGGTGTATAAAATATGTAGTGAATCATAAAATACTGGCATTCAGGGATCATCTAAGAGCTATGAGAATGCAGTCCACTTTTATCCAGCGACAATCTGTATAAGAGATTTGTTAGATAAACATAAGTCAAGGCATTATGCCAAGTGAAGAAGGCCAATCTCGAAAGGGCATATACTGTATGATTCCATTTATGTAACATTCTTTATTTTTTTGAGACAGCGTCTGGCTCTGTTGCCCTGGCTAGAGTGCCATGGCATCAGCCTAGCTCACAGCAACCCCAAACTCCTGGGCTAAAGCCATCCTCCTGCCTCAGCCTCCCGAGTAGCTGGGACTACAGGCACACGCCACCATGCCTGGCTAATTTTCTCTATTTTTAATTGTTTGGCCAATTGCTTTCCATTTTTAGTAGAGACGGGGTCTCGCTCTTGCTCAGGCTGGTCTCGAACTCCTGACCCTGAGTGATCCACCCGCCTCGGCCTCCCAGAGAGCTAGGATTACAGGTGTGAGCCACCGTGCCCGGCCTATATAACATTCTTAAATGACAAAAATCATAGAAAGGAGTGGTTGTCAGGAATGGTGGGGAGAGGGAAAGGGTGAATATAAAGGGGTAGTGTGAGGGTGATCTCTGGGGGAGGAAATAGTTCTGTATCTTGACTGCAGTGGTGGCTACGGGAGTCTACACATGTGATAGAATGCCATGGGACCATACACACACACCATACCGATGTGGATTCCTGGTCTCGATATTGTACTAGGACTATGTAAGACATTACCACTGGGGGAAACTGGATGAAGGGTATACAGAATCTCTCTGTAACTTCCTGTGAATCTACAGTTATTTCAAAATAAAATTTGTTTTTTTTTTTTAAAAAGCCAACAGAAAAATTCCAAGGGCCAAATTTGGGTAGCACAGTTTGCAAACAGATCACAAAGAGAATGCATTTCTTCAAAATTATCCTATAAGCGATGGACAGGCCTATTCATGATCAGCTCAGCTGCAGTTGCACACATAGGAGCTACAGCTATTCTGTCAAGCTGCGAATGGTCAGCTTGTTGGTGTCTGTCAATGCTACCGTGAAGACAGCCTAGACCCAACACTACCAGTTACAGCATTACTTACCAAAGTCACTGTCATCATCCACAAGGACGATTTCATGAAGAAGATGTGCTGGAGTGCGGTCTATGACACTGTGCACTGTCCGGAGCAAGGCAGAAAAAGCTTCGTTGTAGAAACAAATGACAACACTAGCAACTGGCAGGTCAGTTGGGTAGGACTGTTCTTTACATCTGTAAAGATAAAGATGAGGAATTTCTGACATTTTAAAAGACTCAAATATTTCAGGTTATTAATCACTACATACTTACGGTGCCCTTGTTAAGCTTCTTTCTTACATTATAATAATTTTTTTTGAGGGGGGGACAGAGTCTCACTATGTTGCCCCAGCTAGAGTGCCATGGCGTTAGCCTAGCTCACAGCAACCTCGAACTCCTGGGCTCAAGCCATCCTTCTGCCTCAGCCTCCTGAGTAGCTGGGACTACAGGCATGCGCCACCACACCCAGCTCATTTGTTTTTTGTAGAGATGGTGTCTTGCCATGTTGCCCAGGCTAGCTGTGAACTCCTGGGCTCAAGCGATCCTCTGGTCCTCAGCCTCCCAAAGTGCTAGAATTACCAGCATGAGACACTGTACCTGGCCAGGTCAACATTTTTAAAATGTCAGGTTTTTTTCTTTTTTGGTCAAGAGTTTAGAACAAAATGTGAGTATTTTTACTGAAATCGCTGCACGTATTTTAGCACTCATAAGCTGATATCTAGGTTCTCCTCAGTGAGGTTTCAAAAGGAAATAGAGATATAAAACTTTGCATTGAAAAATTTTATTTTTTGCCCAATAATAAAGATTTGAATAAACTATGATATATCAAGATAAAAGCTTGCATGTAAGAAATTATTTGATGAAAACGGTGACGTGGCTTTAAGCAACAACAAAAACCCATGAACCTAAAGACTAAAATCCAGAGTCCTAAATTCTTTCACATGATATACAAAGCCCTCCAATGTCCAAGCTCTGCCTACCTCCAGCCTCTGGCTATTCTCCCACTACAGCCAAAGTGAGCTACAGTCCCTCAGAGATTTCCACATGCTGCTCCCTATACGTGGAAAGGCCTTCCCTCGCAACACTGCTCAATCACCACCTCTTCGTGAAACCTTCTCTGGCCACTCTGAGTTTTATGCCCCTGTTTCGCCAATTCCTATCACAGCCCTTCTTCGTGTGCTGCTGTGATGACCTGCTCACATATCTGCCTCCCCTGCTGGATTCTGAGCCTGTGAACCCAGGGACTACTACCTCTTACCCCGTTTCTTTCCAGAGCTTAGTAAAGTGTGTAGCAAACAGAAGGTGCTCAACAAATGTCTATCTGTGGAATAACTGATCACATAAATGAAAAGCCTTTTAATACATTAACTGCCATGTTGAGTGGTATTTAACTCACACTGGTTTTGAGCCCAGGGCCTTGTGAAGCATATATGTAACTCACACATCTCTTTACCTTGGGAACC